AGGCTCCTTCCTGTGAGGGATGGAGGCACCCATCTGCAGTCTTGGCTTGATGTCTTGAGAGGTTTGTCACTTGCTGGGGACTGATCTAGGGTATTGTGAAGAGTCTGCTGAGGCTCATCTGGACCTTGGACTAATATTTATTGCCCAACCATATGGGCACCCATGACATTGTGAGGTGTGACACTGAGTGTTCATCAAGTGTACTTAAAGAGGGTGAAGAGCGTGAGGGCCCAAGTAGCACTCTCCTAAATCCTTCCAGTGAAAGTAAAGGGCTTGGGTAGGAGCATAGGCACCGTGCAGGACAACACCTGAATGTGCAGCTGGTGTCACTGTCTGTGGCCTTTGTAATTTTGTCTTTGACCTTTACGACCTCTTTGACTTTCTCTGAGAAATCAACGTTCCTGAACAGGAGTGACAAAATGGAGCAAGAGTATCTTTGCCAATAGGTTTGCTAATGAGGGCTTTAAACTGATTCCACTGGGGCATGGTGACCAAACCTCAAAGAGGTCATGGGGACAGTGACTACGTGTCTAGGGGACAGCAAAATGGAGGAGGTTCTCTCAGTTACCATGTGAAAGCAACATGACTGGGAGCCAGTCTTGGGTGTCAGAACATGAATACATGAACCGTAGGAAACAAAGAGGAATCCATGCATGGTTGCAGAGCTGTGTCATGTCACAGATCTCCCTGGGATTAGAGAGACGTGGTTGGCATGACTAGAGTGTTGCAGAGTGTGGTGGTTTAACCACAGTAGGACCATGCAGTCCTACACGCACTCTCCCCACCTGGTAGAGATGGGAAGGGAATCACAACAAAGGGGGAACAGATTAGGATGGGGACAGAGATGGCTCAGTCACCAGTTATGGTCATGGGCAAAAAAGACTCAACTTGGGGAAGAAAAATCAATTTAATTTGTTACCAATCATCTGAGTAGCGCAGTGAAGACATAACAACCGCATCTTACAACACCTTTCCCCACCCCGCCCTTCTTCCTGGGCTCAAATCACTTTGCTCCCGATTTCTCTACCTTCTCCCCCTCAGCAGGGAATGGGGGTTGCAGTCAGTTCACCGTTGCTGTTCCTCCCAGAATGAAAGTCCAGGAACAAGATGTTCCAACTTGAGCTTCCCATGGAGTCATGGACCTCTTCAGGCTCCTGGCTCTGGCATGGGGACATCCACGGGCTGCAGATGGGTCTCCGGTCCAGCGCACCTCCTCACCCCCCTGCTCTGGGGGTCCACCCCCGCTCTGGCATTGAGCAACTCTCGGGGTCTCAATTCGGTCACACCTGCCCTCAGGCTCAGCTTCTCTGCTCCAGCATGGAGGCCTCCATGGCCTACATGTGGGTATCTGCGCCACCAGTGAATTTCCATGGGCTGCAGGGATCTCCTTTGCCTTCTCCTACTCAGTGTGGTTAAACTGGGTGTCCGAGGTTCTCTGTCCTCCCCCTCCTCCTCCTTCCCCCTGGCAACGAAGCTCTCTCTTTGTTTAGGCTGATGGTCATCTTTTGTTAGGTCAGTGGCCTCTCCTCCAGGTTGTCTCCATGGCCTTCTTTTCAGGACAGTCCTTCCCCTCACAAATATGGATTCGCAGAGGCGTTTTTCAGTGGCCATTGGACCAGCTTGGGCTGGAGGGTCTGCCTTGGAGCCAGGGGAGCTTTCGGTCTCACAAGGTGGCCCTTCCCCCACTACCAAACCACCCCCTGCGCCCCCAAACCCAACACACAGAGGATGTATCCAGGCTCTTTTAGAAGAGCAAGCTGGGAAGAGGAGGAGGAGGAGTTGTGCTCTATGCAGAGTGGCTTGAATGCACGGAGCTTTGCTCTGAAATGGGTACTGAGCCAGCTGAGAGCTTACAGGTGAGGCACGGAGGTCAGATCAGTATGGATGACATCATGATGGGTGCCTGCTACAGAAACTGCCTGATGAAGTATAGGGAGTAGATGGAGCCTTTTTTAGAGGGCTGGGGGAGCCACTTGACCGCAGGTCTTGGTACTCATTGAGCACTTGATCCACCCTGATATCTGCTGGCAACAGGGCAGGGCATAAACCATCCAGGAGCTTTCTGGAGAGCACTGAGGACAGTTTTTTGATATGAGTATTGCACAAACCAGTTAAAAGTGATCTCTGTGGGACCTGCTGTGAATAGTAGCCTTGAATAGCTGCCTTGGTGGAAGTGGCCATGAGCTTGTGGAATTTAAGATTGAGACAGGCAAGAAGGATGAGTAGTAGAATCACCATCTTTGGTTTTAGGAAAGCAGATTTTGTCTTTTTTATAGACCTGGTTGTCAGGATCCCATGGAAGACAGCCAGGGAGAGCAAAAGGCCTTGGGAAAGCTGGTCAGTCTTCAAGGAAAACCTCCTCAAAATGGGAGGTGCTTTTGGTTAACTGGTGTGATAGTTTAACTTGTCTGGCAGCCAGACAAGACACAGCCACTCGCAGCCCTGCTCTGCCCCTTTCACCCCCCACCCAGGGAACCGGGGGAGAATTGGAGGGGTAAAGGTGAGGAGACTTGTAGGTTGAGATGAGAACAATTTAATAATTAGAGTAAAATAAAATTAAAATTAAAATAAGAATAATAAGAGTAATAATGCTAACTATATATATATATGAGCGATGCACAGAACAATTGCTCACCACCCCTTGATAATGATCCCAGAGGAGTGACAAGGAACCCCAAAAGTGAAATCGCCATCCTGGAAAAGCGAGCCCAAGCGATTCCCAAGAGAATCCCCCCTTTCCAGTCAGCCCCAGTTAATATACTAAACATGACATGATATGATATGGAATATCTTATTGGCATCTCCAACTGTCAGTTCTGGGTTTTATTAACTACTACACTTTTCTTCTCCCCACTTCCAGTCCTCTCTTCTTGGAAACTGCCCAAGCACAGTGTCCTTGTAGTTATCAACATTGTTCTCATAACAGTCCTCACTGAAACCAAAACACAGCGCTTTCTAGCTACTAAGAAGAAAATTAACCCTATCCTAGCAAAAAACAGGACAACTGGAAAAAGGCAAACTGCTTGTTTTCAAAAAAGGCAAGTAGGATTTGGGGAACTACAGGCTGGGGAACTACAGGCTGGTCAGCCTCAGCTTGCTCCCCAGGAAAACTACAGAGCAAATCCTGCGAAAGCCATGACAGACCAGAAGGTGTTCGAGGGAAAAACAGGGTGGATTTATCAAGGGCAAAACTGACCTGACCATCCCAACTGCTGCCTTTGGTGAGGAGACTCTGTGTTAAGAACAAGCGGAGAGCAGTGCTTACCTCTTCCCTGAACTTTGCCAAGCCTTTTCACAGGGTCTGCTGCAGTATCCTTGTAGTCAGTTTGGGGAGATGTGGTTTGAACTGGTGAATAACAACCTGGGTGGAAAACTGTCTGAAATATTGTCTCAGAAAGTAGCAATTGACAGTACAAAGCTCATCTGTTAATCGTTTTTAGTGGCATCCCCCATGAGTCATTACAGGGCAAAAATGTTTCAATGTTTAATGTCTCTTTTAGCAACTTGGATGATGGAGTGAAGCACAATCTTTTTCAGATTGCAGATGATCTCAGATGAGGGGGAGGGTGGCTGGAGAGCAGGGCTGCTATTTGGAGGGGTTTAACAGGTACAGAAACGAGCTGACATGAACCTCGTGAAGTTCACCAAGAGCAGATGCGCAATCCTGGCCTGGGATGAAGTAACCCCATGGGGCAGTACAGGCTGGGGCTGGCTGGCTGGAAAGTAGCTTTGCAGAAAAGGACCTGGGGGTCACAAGTTGTCCCTGAGTGAGCAGGGTGCCTTGGGACGAGGAAGGCCAACCACACCCCAGGCTGTATGAACCCTGGTGTAGCCAGCAGGCTGAGGCAAGTGCACCTTCCTCTCTATTAAGCATCTATGAGACCACAGCAGGAGTCCTGCTCCCAGTTTTGGGCTTCCCTGGACAAGGAAGTCATTGATGTCCTGGAGTGAGTCACAGCATCACAGAATGTCAGGGATTGGAAGGGACCTCGAAATATCATCCAGTCCAATCCCCCTGCTGGAGCAGGAACCTAAATTTGATCACACAGGAAGGTGTCCAGGCGGGTTTTGAATGTCTCCAGAGAAGGAGACTCCACAACCTCCCTGGGCAGCCTGTTCCAGTGCTCCGTCACCCTCACTGTAAAGAAGTTCCTTCTCAAGTTTAAGCAGAACCTCCTGTGTTCCAGCTCACACCCATTGCCCCTTGTCCTACCACTGGACATCACTGGGAAGAGCCTGGCTCCATCCTCCTGACATTCGCCCTTAACATATTTATAAACATTAATGAGGTCTCCCCTCGGTCTCCTCTTCTCCAAGCTAAAGAGACCCAGCTCCCTCAGCCTTTCCTCATAAGGGAGATGCTCCACTCCCT